GACCAGTACGCCGACAGCGAAGCCGACCGCTGCGCAGGCGGAGGAGGCCAGAAGGGCCATGATGAGGGCCGAGAGGGTAGAGGAGGCTGAGAAGGTAGAGGAGGCCAGGAAAGCGGAGGCGGCCGTGAAGCTCGCGAGGGCCAAGAAGGATGAGGCGGCCGGGGCGTTCGCGGCGGAGGAGGTCAGGAAGGCGGAGGAGGCCAGAGAGCTGGTGGAGGCCAAGAGGGCGGAAGAGGCCAGGGAGGCCGCGGACGCCAAGGAGACTGAGGAGGCTAAGAGGTCAGAGGAGGCCGGGATGGCTCTGGAGGCCACCGAGGCCAGGAAGGCAGAGGAGGCCAGGAAGGCCGATGAGGCCAGGGAGGTCGCAGAGGCCGAGAGGGCTGATGAGGCGAGGACGGCCGAGGAGGCCAGGAAGGCGGAGGATACCAGGAGGCAGGAGGGCTTCTGAGGCCGAGAAGGCGGAGGAGGCCAGGCAGGCCGAAGAGGCCCAGACGGCTGGCGAGGCCGAGAGGGCAGAGGCCGAGGTGGCAGAGAAGGACGTGGAGGCCAGGCCGACGAGCTCGCCTGCAGCGGCACGTACTGCGACGGCGACGGCCGCGCTGACAGCGGCCCCTACTGCGGCACCGACGGCTGCACCGACTGCGGCACCAACGGTGGCGCCGGTTGGCACTCCGGCAGCTGCGCCCACGGCGGCACCGGCAGCTGCGCAGTCTGCGGAACCGACAGCGGCAGTAGCCGCAGCACCGACAGCGGCACCGACATCGGCGCTTACAGGCGCGTCGAGAAGGGCACCGACGGCGGCACCGACGGCGGCGGCGACAGCTGCGCCGACAGGTCCGCCGACAGCTGCACCGACACCCACGCCGACTGCAGCCGAGCCGACTGCGGCATCGACCGCCCCGACGCCTGCCTCGCCGCCAGCGGCGTCGACAGCGGCACCGACAGCGGCGCCTGCGCTGACATCGACCCGTTCACCGACAGCGGCGCCGACTGGGGCACCAACGATGACACAGATCGGAGCCCCGTCTGCGGTGCCGACAGCCGCGCCCATTGCGGCACCGACAGCTACGCCGAATACGGCGCCGATAGCCGCGCTGACGGCGGCACCGATGGGTTCGCCAGCTTCGACACCGACCGCGGCGACAACAGCAGCGCCGCTAGCCAGGCCGACGGCGGCATCGTCAGCCTCGTCGAGTGCGGCGCCGACGGCGACGACAGTTGCGCCGACTGCGGCACCGGCAGTTACGCCGACCGCGGCACAGAAGGCCGCGCCGACAGCTGCGCCGACATCGGCGCCGACACTTGCACCGACTGCAGCAGCCACACCTGCGCCAGCAGCGCCGCCGACAGCGGTTCCGACCGCCGCGCCGACTGCGGCGCCGACAGCTGCGCCGACTGGGGCTCCGACGGCCGAGCAGGCGGCGGCGCCGACGGATGCCCGGGCCGCCGTACCGATTGCCGCGCCAACGGCTGTGCCGACGGCCGCGCCGACTACGATCCTGGCGGCTACGCCAACTGCGGCATCAGCCGCCTCGCCGACAGCAGGGCCGACAGCGGCGCCGACCGTCTCGATGGCAGCAGCACAGGCTGCTGCGCGAACGGCAGCACCGACAGGCTTTCCGAGTGCTGCGCCGTCTGCGGCCCCGACAGCCGTCCAGACAGCTCCGCTGGCAACTGCGCCACCTGCGGCACCAGCGAGTGCACCGACCGCTTGGCCGACAGCTGCGCTGACTGCGGCACTGACTGCCGCGCCGACAACGGCACCGACAGCTGCCCCGACGGCGGCGCCGACGGCGGCCCCAGACGCCGCGCCGACTGCGGCACCGGCAGCTACGCCGACAGAGTCGCCATCAGCGACTCCGATCGCAACGCCGACAGCTGCGACGACCGAGTCACCGACAGCTGCGCCGACAGGTCCGCCAGCTTCGTCACCTACCACGGTGCCAACAGCTTCGCCGACCGCCATGCCGACAGTAGCACTGACTGCCGCGCCGACGGAGGCACCGGCAGCCGCATCGGTCGCGGCGCCAACAGCTGCGTCAGCGGCGGCACAGACGGCGGCTCCGACCGTCGCGCTGACCGATGCGCCGACAGCAGCACCGACAGCGGCGCCGACACCAGCGCCGACCAGCGCGCCGAGGAGGGCACCGACGGCGGCAACGACGGCGGCGCCGACAGCAGCGCCGACAGGTTCGCCGACAGCTGCACCGACGGCCGCGCCGACTACGGCGCCGACGGCACTGACAGCCGCGCAGACAGCTTCGCTGGCAGCGGCTCCGACCTTCGCGCCGACCGCGGTGACGACGACTGCACGGACAGCTGCGCCCATTGCGGCACCGACGGCTTCACCGACAGCGCCGACGACGGTTGCCCCGACGTCCGCGCCGATCGCTACACCGGCCAACTTCGGCCCCGACCGTTGCGCAGACTGAGGCATGGACCGCCTCGCCTACAGCAGCGCGGGCAGCCGCGGCGCCCGCTCCTGGCGAGGAGGCGACCGCCAGCGAGGCGGAGGCAGCCGGAGCGGCCACTACAGCAGGGGCGACTGATGAAGGGTGGGACGTGGAGTTTGACACGACGGCAGGGACGACTGGAGCCTCTACCATGTGTCCCGGCGAGGAGGTGATCACCAGCGAGGCGGAGGCAACCGGAGCGGCTATCCCAGCGGGAGCGACGCCAGCGCCAACGCCGACGCCTACGCAAGCACCGACGCCAGCGCCCACATCAGCACCGACGCCAGCGCCAACGCGGGCGCCCCCGCTGGCGCTAGTGCCGGCGCCTACGCCAGCACCGACGCCAGCGCCTAAGCCAGCACCGACGCCTGCGTCTACGCCAGCACTGTCAGCGGCGCCTTCGCCAGCGCCGACTCCAGCGCCTACATCGGCACCGACGCCAACACCAACGCCGGCGCCTACGCTGGTGCCAACGCAAGCACCTACGCTAGCACCGACGCCAGCACCAGCGCCTGCGCCTACGCCAGCACTAATGGCGGCGCCAACGCTTACGCTGGCGCCGACGCCAGCGCCTACACCAACACCGACGCCAGCACCAACGTCTGCGCTTACGCCGGCACCAACGCCAGCGCCTACGCCAGCACCGACGCCAGCACCGACGCCAGCACCAACGCATGCGCCTGCACCGGCACCAACGCCAGCGCCTACGCCAGCACTAACGTCGGCACCGACGCCAGCACCAACGCCTGCGCCTACGCCGGCACCAACGCCAGCGCCTACTACGTCGACCGCTTCGCAGACAGCTGCGCCAGAAGCGGCGCCGTCCGCCTCGATGACGGCGGCGCCGACAGTTGCGCCGACTGCGGCGCCGACAGCTGCACCGACTACGGCACCGACCGCTGCACCGAGGATGAGCGTGTCTCGCGTCGCTAGTCTGGCGCGCGTGGAGCTCGATGCAGAATTGTGCTTAGGCGGGCTCCTGTGCAATGCGATCGAGAGGGCTGGCTTCACAGACGAGGGCGAGGCCGAGGAGGAAGAGGAGGTGGTCGGGAAGACGAGCCGCAAGGACGCTCTCCACGTGGAGTTCGGCTACCCCACGGATAAGCTTGAAGAGTTGGCGCGGCGGCTGGATGGCGTCCTCAGCTGCCGGACGCTCGCCGAGGGCCATCATCGCTCCGTCTGCGATCCATGCGTCGTCGGCGCCTGGGTATTGCCGACCCGCTTGGAAGACGCGGTCGGCCCAGCTTTCGATCCGCATCTGACGGGCGAGGGCATACGAGCATCTCATGGGCTACGAGGAGCTCAGCGGCGTAGGCACGTCCATGGAGGCCGAGCTCCTCAGGGCCAGAGGCGAGGAGCGCGGAGGGGCCACTCCAGACCAGAGGCCGAGGAGGCGAGGAGGAGCGCTGGCGGACGCAGGCCGCGGCTGCCGAGGCCAGGGGCGAGGAGTGCAGAGAGGCCACTTCGGGCCTGAGGCTGGGGGGGCGGCCGCGCGGGTGGCCAGCAGGAGTGAGGAGGCGCCAGATGGCGCGGAGGCAGAGGGCCTGCGGAGGCTCAGGGCGATGCCGGGGTGCGCATTGTCGGCGGCCTGGCGCATCAGGGGGGCAGTGGGGGTCACGCCAGAGCGAGCCCACTGCGGGGGCGGGCTAGGGTCCGCGGCCCCCAGCGAGAGCCGCGGGTTGAGCAGCCGGCGCACGTGAGCCATGAGCACGGGAGGGGGCCAGGGCAGCCAGCGAGGGTTGGCCTCGCGGCAGCCAGAGCTCGCGCCATCCTGCGGAGGAATGGCGCCCAGTGGCTCAGGAAAGAACACGGGTACAGCATCGTCACCAGTTGCGTTTGAGTCATGTGAGGCCTTCAGTGTAGTCCGCTTTCCTAAACTGCGTTGCTGTCCTCCCTCGCTCCGGGCCCCTTTGGGGCCCGCCTCCCGTGTCGGGCCCGGGGCCCGGGGCCCTGGCGGGGCTCCTTTCCCGCTCGTCCTCTTGCTGTCTAGGGTATATTGCGGTGCAGCTTAGCTGCGCAATATAGTGCACCGTCACACCGCTGTGTACCATACATTATATTGTATGCGGCCTGAACGGCTTGGTTCTTTTCTCAGTGCGAGCACTGTCCGGGAAGGGCCTGTAGGCCGCGATCCGCACGGGCCCGAGGGCGAAGCCTCGAGGGCAAAACGGGTGGTTCTTTTCAAAGCGGGGCTGTCGCCTGAATGGCAGGCTCAACCTGCGGGGACTTCTGAGGAGGGAACTTGGAATGGAAGTGTGTACTGCAGAATCGTTGATTCTTGTTGCGTTTACTCTGGTCCTTCTCCTCCTCCGCGCTCCCCTCCCTCCTTTGAAGGAGGAGGACGAGGTATGAAGGAGAAACAAGAGGGAAGGGAGGCCGAAAGGGACGAAGGGAACTAACAGGAAGAGGAGGAGGAGGAGGAGAAGGAGGAGGACGAGGAGGAGGAGGAGGATAATGAGGAGGAAGAGGAGGAGGAGGAGGAGGAGGAGGAGGAGGAGGAGAAAGAGGAGGAACAGGAAAGGCGAAAAGGAGGGAGGAAGGGAGGACCTGCCAATGGTGGCGGTTCGCGGCTTCCACGGACCGCTGAATGAAGTCGCTGGCGCCCTGCGACACGGCCTCCGCCCCGCCGCCGCCGAGCGGGTTAGCCCTGGAGCCGGCCGAGTGCGCGCGCCTCGCAGGCGGGGGCGGGAGGGGGGGGACTGGAATTGATCGACCACCCTACTCTTCATTTTCCTCCTCCTCCTCCTCCTCTTCCTCCTCCTCTTCTTCCGCCATCCTCCTCCTGCTCCCCCTCCTCTTCCTCGTCCTCCACCTCTCCCCCTCCTCCTCCTCCTCCTCCTCCTCCTCTCTCCTCCTCCCTCATCATCATCATCATCATCATCATCATCATCATCATCATCATCATCATCATCATCATCATCATCATCCTCCTCCTCCCTCCTCATCTCATCATCATCATCATCATCATCATCATCATCATCACCATCATCATCATCATCATCATCATCATCATCATCATCATCATCATCATCATCATCATCATCATCATCATCATCATCATCCTTTCCTCCTCCTCTCCTCTCCTCCTCCTCCTCTTTTTCCTCCTCCTCGTCCTCCTCCTCCTCGTCCTCCTCCTCCTCCTCGTCCTCCTCCTCCTCCTGTTACTATAAGGTACCCCCCTGGAAGCGCGAGCCACCAGCCGAGACTACTGATGCTCCAATGCTGCTAGGGGCGGGCGTCTAAACGAGGAACTACGAAGTTCTGACCGACGCAGCGTCGACTCAAAGCTTACCGCACTGAGCCGACGTCGGAACCACAGCGAACGCCGCCGAGGGCCCGAACGGGCCAGGACCCCTCCCTTACCCTCTCCGCTCACTCCTCCCGCTACTTTTGCTGCAGCCTGCGCGCCAAGGCGCCCCGCAGTGCGCGCCCCGCCTCCGCCGCGCCGTTCCGCCCGCGAAGTACCTGGCACAACGCCGCCTGGACCTCGATGCTCTCGTGGCCCGCGTTGCAACGCGATCGCCTCAAAGGGGGACCGCTGCACAAGAGCCTCGTAGCTGTCGTCCGTGTCTACCCCGCCCCACGCGTGCTGCTGCCCCTCGAGAACATCGGCGGCCTTGCGCACGTTGTGGCCGACGACCGCGATGCCCTGCGGTGCGCATCGCCACGCGAGTCACGTCCACATTGAAGCATGGGCCCACTGTAAACTATTTGACCCATGCCGCCCTCTCATTTGCGGCCGAGTGCCCCATCATCAGCAGCAGCCGCTCGAACACCCCGCGGCACTTTTTGAGCTGGGCGCGGCAACCTTCCTGATCCAGTCAACTCCTCCTATCTACGACTACTGCCCCAAATGCTTGCAGCTAGGGCGGTCCCACGCAGTGCCCGCTGCCCTCCGCCTCGGCCTTATCCTCGTACTTCGCGTGCGTGTCCTTCGCCATCTGCGGCACAGGGTGGTCCTTCGGCAGGCGCATCTGGCTGGCAATATGGTGTTCCGCTGTCCTCGTGCGCGTCTCGAGCTGGTGGGCCGGCCCCCCCATCGCCTGGTCCTCGCCCAACTCCTGCTTCGCCTTCTTCGGCTTCGACGCCGCCCCCTTCTCGCCGTCCTTGTCGTCTGCCAGCAGCCAGGACTTGTCGCTCAAATTCAATGAGATCGAACGATCAGGACCACCAGCGCCTTCCACCCATTCGGCGCAGCTCGGCGCCGCCTCGAAATCAATCTCGAGCGCCATCGAATGCGGCTGCACATGCGCTGGCAGAGCGCGGGCCCGCAGCTCGCGGAAATCCTCTGAGCCAGACCCGCGAACAGAGCCGCAAAGACGGCGCGCGCCCCCCCCCCCCCCCCCCACTTTGACCTCGAAGCCGCCGCGCCCTCGATCCGCCAGACATCGCCCGATTTGCATTGCAGTCGTCATGTGTTTCTTCGCTTGCGGCTGCGAGCTGAATTTTGCGCCGCATATCGCGCATTGATCTGCGAAGCAACGTGCCCTCGCCGTAACCATCGCCCCGTGCCCTCCCCCTCTAGCGCGCGCGCAGTGGGGGCGCCGCTAAGTCGCTGTCAGAAGCGCCACAGGGAGCGGCGACCCATCTTCGAGAATCGCCCAGCACCCATCGACCCCTCTGCCCTCGTCGTTGTTCTTCCTCCCCCACCCCCTCCCGCGTTCGCTTCGATGCGTGGAACAATGCGACGACGAAACTCGACCATCGAACTCCACGAAATCCTCGGCCCCCTCTAGCAAGGAACGAGAAGGGGGCACAGTATCCCTTCAACAGCACAAGCCCATCGAATGTCGACAGCTGGGCCACGTCTCGCAGCCACTGGCGCGCACAAGGACAGGCCGGCGCGCTCGGCAGCACAAGAATCTCGCGCCTGCCGATATTGATCTCACCGAATGCTGCTGTCAATGCCTGGCGCCCTTCGTCGGGGCGTTGCATGAGCTACCGCAGCCGCTTCAGCTTTGTCACTCTCAGTTCCACGCGCAGCGTCGTCACCCTCAGCCTTCCCAAGACCCGAAGGTTGGTCAAGCTCCCGATATCCCCCTCCTCCCCCCGCGCCGCGCCCCTAACTGTGACCTTGGCTCCTCGCCGCGAAGCTCTCGAGCCTCTGCAAGTCCTCATCCTCCTGGGGCGCCGTCGATCTGGCCAGCGCACTCTCTAGCCCAGTCAGTAACGCGTTGACCTCGCACCCCTCGAAGAAGATGCCGCCGCTCCTGGCCCGCCTCTGACGGCCCAGAAACATCCCGTCTGATTCCAAGCCACTTCTCCTGTAATGAACCTCGACCCAACCTATTTCTGAACGGCAGAAAGGTTACGAAAACTGTGAACCGAGCAACGAGCATCTGTCATCGCGCGCCCCTGCAATCTCTGTTCACCAAGAAGAATGCGCTCTGATTTGCGCGAACCTTGCCCAGCGCAGATACGAGCCCCCTGTTCGTCATTGTTCAGCTTCGTGCCCATCGCGCCCTTCGCTTCGCTGGCTCTCTCGCTCTGCCTCCCGCCTTTGACCCCGGCCTCCGCCGCTGTCTTGAACGAGGGGGCGTCCGCGACATCATCCACGAACGACGTCATCATCAGCTCAAGCTGCTTCCTCTCGACGTCGAAAGGCGGCCGCGCAGCCGCCTGCTGCGGGGCCCCCTGCTCCGCCTTCTGCGCGCCGCAAGCATGCGCCTTCGCGAACAGCCCCGCCTCCGTCGGGCCACCAAGCGCGCGCCCTTCCCCCGCCGCCCGCGCCTCGCCCCGGGAGGGGGGGGGGGGATCGAACTGAATGTGCGCCAGGTCCAAGCGCAGCGCCGTCAGGGGCGCGCCCTGCTCTCCTGAACCTCGCATAGCCACTCTCTTCAAAACCCCCGTGACCATCGAGGAGAAAGCGTTCGCAGCATCCTGGAACCGTGGAGCGCGCTGAACACGTGCCTTCCTCATTCTCCACGCCGCCGCCATCTGGGGCACACTGGCACCTTTTCGCAACGTCTCCACCTCAGGCCTCCGCGCGTTCTCACAGGTGCGGAGACGCGCGGCGCTCTCCTCGCAATGTCGCCATAGCACCACTTTGCCAGAACACTGACCAGCACGATCACGCGCTCGCCCCCGGCGCCCTCCTTGCCCGCGCCCTCGTCAATCCTGGCCGCCTTCTCCAGCGCCCACGCGCGCGGCAGCGTGAGCTGGGCCCTGATCCCTTCTCAACAGCTCCTCCGTCACCCAGTGGAACTTCGGGGTCGTCGAAGGGCCCATCTCCTTCTGCCTGTTCTTGACCGCCCACTCGTTGACCGCCCGCGGAAGGAGGGTGCACCTCAGCAGCTCCACTGGGCAACTCCATTCTGGCGCGGCCAGCCCCGATCTCGCATTCAAGAGCATGCTCTTTCTCATCTGGAAGTCCTCCTCCAGCTCCTCGGGCGTCGCACCTCATCACCGCCCGCGCCTCGCCCCAATATCTCGCCGCGCCTCCTCCTTCGTCGTCTTCGCAGCCGAGCGCCCTCCATCCGGCCCTGCCATTTGCACGCGCAGCTCCCGCTCCTCTCTGGTGCCCTATACTCGGCGCCATCTGGAAACTTCCTGCCTCGTTCCTCAATGCCGCTGGCCCAGCAAGCGCGCCATCCTGCGCGTGGTCGCGCCGCCCGCTTCTTACGCTGCAACATGAAATTCACGAACTCCTCCTCTGACTTCTGGGCATGCTCACGCTTCCTCACTCGCAACCAGTTGCTCTTGTGTCTGAACTCTGCTATCACTTCCGAATATCTCAACACCGATATGCAGTGACCTCCTGGCGTTACACGCCGGACACATTCCCAGTAACCCAACCCAGAGGGTATATGGCGCAATATTCTTGCGGCAAGCATCAACGCGTTTGTTTTAACATACAGCTTGCGTCGGTCATTCCTTTGCGTCGGTCAAACTTTGTTTGCGTCAACGAAACTTTTTTTGTTACAGGTATAACTTCCCTTCTTGTTAGTACTTCACGTGCTACATGCTGGTGACATGCTGGTGTTAGTATGTGTGTTACATGCGGTGCTACATGCTGGTAGTAGTATGTCGGTTTTAGTGTTATTCTGATTGCGCACGTTGGCGTATGTGCTACATGTTGGTGTTACATGATGTGCTATATGCTGGTGCTACATGATGTGTTACATGATGGTGCTACACGATTGCGCGTTTATGTAGGTGCAGTAACGCCACGCTTACGGATTCATCATGATATATGCGATGCTACGCAATGCTACACACGGCCATGCAATGCTACGCAATGCCATGCAATGCGCTGCAATGCTATGCAATGCTTTGCGGTTGTGGGCGCGTTGAAATAGCGTGGCTGCGGTTGCGGTTGCGGTTGCGGGCGCCAGCGGGCGCGACGCCGCGAGGCACGCCGCGGGGGACATCGCCAACTGGCGGGGCGGTGGGGGAGGAGAGGGGGATGGGGAGGGGCGAGGAGGGCGATTGCACCCCTGCGTGCTTGAGGATTGCACCCCCTGCGTTCTTGGGGAGGAAGAAGGAGGGGGGAGGAGGGGGGGGGGGGGGGGGGGGAGGACGAGGAGAGGAAGGAGGTTAGGATCGGTTCTAACCCCTGAACTAACCCCCCTTTGATTAGCAGGTCCCATGGCAGGTTCGATGGAGGCCAGTTTGGCGAGCTTACGCTGCGTGGCTTCCTCGCAAGTGCCGTCCCCGCGGGGCAGAGCAATT